GTAAGGTAAGGTAATGTAATGTAAAGTATTGTATTTTAATGTAATGTAAGATAAGGTAAGGTAATGTAATGTATTATAGGTAACAACAATGCCGAGTAAACACGACGTTTCCTAGGTAACCAGGTTACACTTTTTCGTTTCCCTTTTTCGCCGAATGACCCTTCCTTATAGACGTATTTACGTCAAAAAAAAACCAGGTAAATTTTTAAGAATAGCGTCGTTATTAAGGAACCAGCAAATCCATTTTACACTGATGCCCATTTACTTTGCGTCAGTGGTTCTGAATATTTTTTAATTCACGTATCTGTAAAAACAGTAGTGGGCTCTGTATTACATTATACACAAATCATAGCAACAAGGTAAAAATATATCGTACTCACCCACTGACCATCCATAACAAAAATAACAGCACACGAAGAATACTAAATTACCAAACACTTCTCTTTTAATATACCGAAATAAAAGTAATCATACCTAGTGACTGCATAAAGCAGAGTAACGTTTAACACAAACTATCTAGTTACTAACAGGAAACAAGAAAAATGCTAAGTAGTATTTTTTCTAGCCGTGGTAAAATGGTGTTATTAGAATTTGTAGACTAGTAAAATTGCATTTACGCTGATAAGCTGTTCCCTCAAAAGTTAATTAAAACAGGCGACCGTCAGGTAGTAGGAACACTGATTTGCGTGATTTATGTAATTACTGATGGACTGTGTACACAGATGAAGGCATTTAGTAGAAAGGAAGATCACAAGGCTATTGCATTATTTGCTGTTTAAAATGGCGAGTGTAGGAATGAGTTAATCTTCCGGACAAAAACTGTGACAAATTTATAGCAAAATCTCTTATAAAAGAACACAATCGGGTGCAGTGTTGATTATGTCACTGTGGTCTATCTGAAATCCTTTACGGAAGAACCTTAAACATTACCACTAAATACATATAACACTTCTTGTGTGTTTAGATCTTAATATTTATGAAAAGTAAAGACTCCTTCGAATTCAGCTTTCGGAATTTATTATTCAGGTTCGACCGAAGCGCCAAAACCGAGATACGCAGCTGTAATGGCTTGGTAGTGACTTACCAGTTTCATGTCGTCTAGCGTTGTTCTGCTGTGGTTGCTGGTGACAAAAGCTGCCTCTTTATAGGCACGGATTTCTCTTTCGCTGCCGGGTAGAAACCAGGGCACCTCGCCTCGTACCGCTGATGCCTTTTTTGTAGTCCACCTTTCCATTTCCACAGAGACAGCGGTGACAAGGCGAAATCTTCGAATCGTCTGCTTCCGAAAAATAGGGCAAGCCAACCAAACTACTTGTCCACTGAGGCAAAAGTACGCTGCATGGTCAGATACCCAACATTACGACAATAACGCGTTTAAATAGTTTCCGGGAGGTACCCGATTCTTATCTCCCACATATGCCCAAAGATATTTTTTTAAGTCCCTAGAGAAGAACAGCGAGGTACTTCCTTAAAATAGGCCACTTTCGCTTCCTACCACATCCTCCTCGTTTCTTCATTCAATGCTACATAATTTCAGCGGCTGACACAGCCTCACGAAATAACTATCAAATTCGATATTTCCGTCACGTATCTCCAAAATAATGCTAAGGTTGTGTTTGGTATTCAAGGATCCTAATTAAAATTATAGCTCAAATTTAATTTTATTGCATTCTGATCGATAAAACTCCGAACTTTTTTGGGTGAGGCAAACTATGATACTTCAACTTAAAACAGGCGCTTTTACACACTGACATAAAACACTGAGAGCGTTTAAAAACACTGAGAGCGTTTAAAAACACTGAGAGCGTTTAAAAACACTGAGAGCGTTTAAAAACACTGAGAGCGTTTAAAAACACTGAGAGCGTTTAAAAACACTGAGAGCGTTTAAAAACACTGAGAGCGTTTAAAAACACTGAGAGCGTTTAAAAACACTGAGAGCGTTTAAAAACACTGAGAGCGTTTAAAAACACTGAGAGCGTTTAAAAACACTGAGAGCGTTTAAAAACACTGAGAGCGTTTAAAAACACTGAGAGCGTTTAAAAACACTGAGAGCGTTTAAAAACACTGAGAGCGTTTAAAAACACTGAGAGCGTTTAAAAACACTGAGAGCGTTTAAAAACACTGAGAGCGTTTAAAAACACTGAGAGCGTTTAAAAACACTACGTTTTACGATCAACAGGCAATTAATATATTACGTATCTTCTCGTATTTGTAACTCATCCCGAATATAAGAGGCAGTTACGCGTAAGCACTGATCGAACATCCTTCAGCTGTTTACGGATCTAGGAGCCCACGGTTGGTGATCGCTGCCCTACGTTATACGAAGTCCAGAATTTAGTAACATTACACAAAAATCATTAAGCTGGACTAGTTTTATTTGAAGCTTTTCGACTATACAAATTTTTACTCTGTTCGGTTACTGAAATCAGGGGGGCTTGAAGTTCTCACGGCGGTGAGTACGAAGATGGCTGTCTTCTGGGTTGTAGCGCCGTGGAGTCTGGTTGAAGTTTACCTTTATCAGAGCGATGAATCATCGCCCTAATGACTGAGACAGC